TTCGTTATTTGAAGCCCCACCCTGGCTTTTGCCGGGGGCCCTAAATATAGCCGGGTCGTAAATCTGGCCTAACGGCTGAACGGGGTTTCCGGAACCTCTCCACGGGTGATCCTCATCCGCATGGTGGCAATTTGTGTCACTGGGTGTTTATCGCGTGTGTGATGTCCTGGCGGGGTACAACTTACATACATACATATAACATTGTTTTAATATTAATAATATTTACTTCAGTGTCACTGTGCTATTCTCTTCCGCACTTAATCTCCAAGTGAAGCATCGGCCATACAGCAAGTCTCAAATCATGTGCTATCACACGCAGCTCACACAGTGTCGTCCTCATCATTTTGATCTCATTATTAATTTCTCTTCTCCGTTAATCTTTAATTGTCTGTTTTTATTCCTTCGACACTATGGGTGTTACTGTTTATTCACTCATTCATTGTCCTCTTGTACAATTATATGTCCCATAAGGCTTGCAGTCTGTCCCCTCCATCCCTTTCTTCTTCTTTTCTCTACTCCTGGAATACCTCGCGACGTCAGGGCAGGAATAGATCTCTGGAACATGCCCTTCTGTTCGCTTCTTATAAAGTACTTTTCAGTGTGATTTTTCTGCGGTCCGTCTTCTGTGTGGCCGACCGACCCCTGGCTCTGTTACCCTTTCATCCTGTGCAATCCTTTGGATCTCGTGGATAGAATCCAGTCCAGCATTTAGATGTCACTGTCTTGTGGATAAACAAAAATGTTCTTGGTCTCCTATTTCCAAGAGCAGACATAAATTCTCGTTGATCTTACACTATGACTAATTTGCATTGTGGCACATTACATGTATACACAAGTAAAATATCCTGTCACTATATGTGCAAAATGTTTTTTTTTTTTTATAATGGCGTCGGCGTCTGTTGCTGGGGGAGGGGGGGGGAGGGGGGGAGTGTTGTTACGGTTACGCTCTGATATACCCGGGCGATTAGTCAGTAGACCAATTTGCTTTGTTTCAACAATATTAGCGAGCACCGACCTTTCATTTGGCACTGGCAAACTACTGCACGTAAAATCGCTTAGTAAAAAAAACACAAGCAGCTAAAAATTACTTGAATCATGTGCCACATCATGTGAAGGATACGCAACTAACTTATAATGGTAGGGAAGCGAAGCCATTTACTAATATGTCTGTTACTAGACGACCTCGTCTGCATGAGTCTTGCTGATGTTAGAACAGTTCTAATTACTGTGCGATATCTTCTTGGGTATCGCATGAGCAGACGACCTGGATGGCGGGCATGCTGTTGTTGGTGTGTTGGTTTGTGTCGCCGTTGTTGCGCTGCATGTTCATGGGTCACGGAGTCTCAGATGTCACTTGTGTCTGTGAGTCTGTGGTTGGCGAGGACCGGTTGAAACTGGTGACGGATTTATATATTTTTTTGTTGGCGCAGCAGAGAATTCAGGCTGGTGTTGGTTCTCGGGGTCGACCAACACGAAGATGGGCACAGGATATAAGTGACTCCTTAAATATGAAAGTACATGGGGGGAGAGCTGGCGAGAGACCGAGTTTCAGGGAGACCGTGATGGGAGCGACGTTCTGCAAGGGACCTGCTACATGATGATGATATTGTTGATTTTTTTAAGAAAAAGAAAAAGAAGTCAAGAAAAACAATACAGAAAAAGTGGAGATAGTGGGTAGCAGAATGTCATGAGAGGAACTTTCTCTAAGAGGTTGCTCAATCAATCACTTTCTGTCTCAGCTGTGAAGGTTGGTTGCAACGGATCTTCTAACACTCTCTATCTCTTGGTTGTACACTCTCTCAGACTTCTGTTTGTTCATCTCTTGATGCTGCCCTCCCATTTGCATCATTGTCTACCTCTTGCTGTCTTGCCCTCGACATTTTCCTCCAGTATAGTTTTTAAAATAGTGTTATGTCATTTAATGTGACTAAAATATTTCAGCTTGTCTCTCTTTTTTTAAATTTCTTTTAGTAATTATCTTTTCGTTCGCAGTCTTTTCATAACCTGTGTATTTGAATGTTTTTATTTCCATGGAATACGACCTTTTCTGTGTATCCATATTTTTTTAGAGAGGTGGCTACAAAAAGTTTACCGTCTGGAGGACACACTTCAGTGCATCGGCTTTTATTTTACTTAGCTCTCTCTCGTTCTCTCTCCCTCTCTCTCTCTCCGTCTCTCAGGCTAGCCGTCTGTCGAGAGCGTCGCACAAAGCACGAACGCTGTTGCTCCAGTCATGATCCTCAGGAGACTGCACCCGTGAACCAATCGACACATCTGTGAAATGAAAGATTGAAGAAGTGATGGGGAAACGTGTTTGGTAGCTGGTAGTGGGCGTGACTTTCTGAAAATGGATCATTTTAATTAGTCACCGGCCAGCGATGGACATGAAAGGACATGTTGAGACTACCACACAGAGATTGGAAAAACATACAAAGCAGATGTCAGTTTTACCTGACCAATTTACAATAGATAAATCAAGGACGTTGCGGTAATTAGCCTTCATCGGCAGAACTAGTCTTGTAAAAATGACACAAACTTTATATGTTTGTAATATATTGTTTAAAAACACATTCCTAGCTTTATTTTATTTCAAAGGTCGCCGTCTGTGGCTTAGGCGTTGCGAACGCGCTTTGAAGTGCCGGGGTGTGGGTTCAATCCCAGCTGCAGATTATTAGGAGGCAGTCTTGCGCTGGTTTCGACTGTATTACTGAGATCTGACCGTTTAGTGGCAATGGCAAACTACTGAAAATCTGCCTATAAAACCAGCGGCAGCAAAAAAAGGCAAGGGTTGGTTTTGCAACGTCCTATAAAGAATACCCAACTAACTGATTTCAAAGAGGGGCATAATGTGCTGAAGATTCATTGTAACTTAAGTTTGTTGTGAAGATGACCCCTAGTGTGAGATGATTAGCTTGTTCGAACTTCAGACAGGTCAGTTCAGAGAGTGAAATGACTAAGGTCAGCAGATAAAGTCTAGCAAGTGATGAAAAGAGGCGGATGGGTAAGTTGGTTCGGGGGTAACCTAACCAGAAACTGACAAATAATGTGATCACACATCAAAGTGAAGGCAGGTGTCAGGTGGCGAACAAGGGGAAACTACTCTTCGTATCACGTGATGGCTGGTCACTTTAGGGCAGGACAACTCATGGGCAGGAGAGCAAACAGTGAAGGTCATGGCGGTGGGAAAGATTCAATACATACAGGAAATTTTAATCGTGCCGTGCTGAAGGACACAGATGATTTACCAAAAGTTGATGGGAAAATAAGTTATTGACGTCATCCTGTTTGTATTTAAGTAGTCATCATTATCAGCACGGTCGTCGTTTATTTCTTCTTCTTCTTTCTTCTTCTTCTTCTTCTTCTTCTTTTTCTTCTTCTTCTTCTTCTTCTTCTTCTTCTTCTTCTTCTTCTTCTTCTTCTTCTTCTTCTTCTTCTTCTTCTTCTTCTCCTCCTCTTCCTTTTCCCCTTTCTTCTTCTTCTTCTTCTTCTTCTTCTTCTTCTTCTTCTTCTTCTTCTTCTTCTTCTTCTTCTTCTTCTTCTTCTTCTTCTTCTTCTTCTTCTTCTTCTTCTTCTTCTTCTTCTTCTTCTTCTTCTTCTTCTTCTTCCTCTCTTTATTATTATTATAAATATTATTATTCCTTTTCTTCTTTTGCTGATTATTATTATTCATCTTCTGCTCTTTCCTTCTTCTGCTCATTATTATTATTCCTTTTGGTCTTCTACTCTTTCTTCTTCTTCTTCTTCTTCTTCTTCTTCTTCTTCTTCTTCTTCTTCTTCTTCTTCTTCTTCTTCTTCTTCTTCTTCTTCTTCTTCTTCTTCTTCTTCTTCTTCTTCTTCTTCTTATTATTATTATTATTATTATTCATCTTCTGCTCTTTCCTCATCATCTTCCTTCTCCTTCATTCTTCTGCTTATTATTATTATTTCTTTTGGTCTTCGACTCTTTCTATTTCTTCTTCTTCTTCTTCTTCTTCTTCTTCTTCTTCTTCTTCTTCTTCTTCTTCTTCTTCTTCTTCTTCTTCTTCTTCTTCTTCTTCTTCTTCTTTTTCTTCTTCTTCTTCTTCTTCTTCTTCTTCTTCTTCTTCTTCTTCTTCTTCTTCTTCTTCTTCTTCTTCTTCTTCTTCTTCTTCTTCTTCTTCTTCTTCTTCTTTTTCTTCTTCTTCTTCTTCTTCTTTTTCTTCTTCTTCTTCTTCTTCTTCTTCTTTGTCTTTTTTTTTTTTTTTTCTTCTTCTTCTTTTTCTTCTTCTTCTTCTTCTTCTTTTTCTTCTTCTTCTTCTTCTTCTTCTTCTTTGTCTTTTTCTTTTTTTCTTCTTCTTCTTTTTCTTCTTCTTCTTCTTCTTCTTTTTCTTCTTCTTCTTCTTCTTCTTCTTCTTTGTCTTTTTCTTTTTTTCTTCTTCTTCTTTTTCTTCTTCTTCTTCTTCTTCTTTTTCTTCTTCTTCTTCTTCTTCTTCTTCTTTGTCTTTTTCTTTTTTTCTTCTTCTTCTTTTTCTTCTTCTTCTTCTTCTTCTTTTTCTTCTTCTTCTTCTTCTTCTTCTTCTTTGTCTTTTTCTTTTTTTCTTCTTCTTCTTTTTCTTCTGCTCTTTATTATTATTAAAATTCATCTTCTTATATAGGCTGCATACAGTCGTGCAACCTAGGCTGCATGCGGGACCTAGGGTGCACTCTGTCGTGGAACGTAGGCTGAGGCTGTGGGGTAAAGAAGGTTGGGGTTAGGGCCAGTTATACATGTTTTCCGGCCGTTCAAAGCGCTCACATCGTGGAATATAGAACATGCGATATCGCCGACCACTGACAACAACGAGTAAACTACTAAGTGTTGCTGGACGCTCACTAAGCGCGACACCCCCGCAACATAGGACGGGCCCTGCGACAAAACGAGGCATGAATGGTAACAGAAGTCACTCTCTTACTGAGCCTGAAAACTTACTAGAACTGAAGAAGAATAAGACAAAAGGTCACAACTGTTCAAGCGGTAACGATTGTTTTATCTCTGTTTGCAGGAATCAATATTTCCATTGTGTACATCAGTATCAAAGTTCTTCTATGTCTTCTGTACGTGATTCGAGTCTGTTTGGACAATCCCCTACTTTACGCATGGTAAGTTCGGCTGTACATTGCAATGTTGGGTACGTCTTATTTTCTGTAAACTGTTTGTGGCTTTAGTTAAAAGAGTCATGATCATGTCACGATCCTCGAGCACCAGGGTTCAATTCCCACGGCGGACGGTTGATTTTTCTTTTCTTCAAATAAATGCAATGAAATAAAAAAAAAAAAAAAAAGTTTCATGGGTTTTGGACAGTAGTACGAAAATGGCATCATGTCATGAGTGGTGTCCCTCGCCGCGTAATATCTAATAAGACAACAAGCAGTGGCTGCTCTGTAAGTAACGTAAAAATTAAAGGCCTCTTTCCCACGCCTTCAGACGTATTTGGCATACAAAGCTAGTCCTATATTTCATAGACCAATTGGCACTCGGTGGGTGATGTGATCACCATCACGCCGGCCGCCTTTACATCCCAGGACTTTACCTGGTAACCATTTGAGGCTGGATCCACCTGGGACCTGGAAGTTGAGTAATTTAGAAAAAAAATCCGGCTCCGTTAGGACCCGAACCACACCCTTCGGGTTCGTAGGCGAGCATCTAGCCGATACGCCACGGCAGCTCCCGGGTTTACTAAAGCCAAACTTTATTGTGTAGGTCAGTGTTTTTCAAACCATTTACAAATTATGCTCATTCGTGTAACAGGCCTGGGTAGGTGCTTCTTCTCTTCCAGTCACTTCCAGAGGTGGCTCGGTGGTCATCAGGCACGTCGTCGGCCTTGAGTCCTGGAGGTCCCAGGTTAAAGCCCCGGTAAGGCTGGGATTTTTTCACTTTGACTTCTAGTAATTTTCCTTGGTCTCTGGGTAGTGAGATTGGACGCCCGTGTGCATTGGTGCGCACGTAAAACATCCTTTGGCAGTTGGAAATCAAAAAGAGTAGCCTAGCGGCGCTGCCTGGGCAAAAATGGGGAGTTGAAAATCTGCCCTAAGTATTTCAGGATTCTCGTCGATGCTACGGAGTTCGTGCACTGAGCTGAGATTCTTTTTTCTCAGGCTTGAGTTAGAAGTAGAACGGAGCACTTATGGGTACTACTTTTGTACCATGATGTTGATCTGTTGTTTAAACCAAAACCTATCTCTTCCAGTATGTAGGATTAACCTCCCAGTGACTTACTATATGTGTGAAAAGACTAAAACCTCCTACAGAAATCGAATGGGTGTTATTGTAGCGCTTCATCTATCAGAAACAGTGCTCCAGACACATATATTGTTTTGTATTTTAAATTTCTAATAAGCAGCAAATATTTGATTAACTGGGGATTGTAATTCTATGACATCGGATGTAACCAATCAGCTGCTGTCTAGGTGTGCTCTTATTTCTGTGCTTGGATAGCTGCCAGTTGGCCCGTGAAACAATGTCCACTGTTTCCCGAATGGGTTAGGGGGTCCTATTGTAGGGAAGACAAAAATAGACCCGCTGCCTACCCATGACCTTCTTTACAAAAGCATGTCGTAAGAGTCGACTAAATGGGAGCTTCTTTTAAAGGAATCTACAGTCTGCATACAGACAAGTCGGATCTGCAAAACAGATGCGCACATAGCACTGAGGTTCTGGAACTGGACTACATTCTAAAGCAGAACTTCATACCGGAGTTTACTGCTGGTGAACGCGAAGAAGAAAAACGAAAAATGTCCACTGATGAGACGCGGGTGTAAATGGGTTGAGGCCCATCAGTATAGGCGGCCCATAGTGTGTACTGTTTATAACATTCTCTTTTTTTCTTCCTGCCCGTGCCATTAAATTAGTACTTAGCTCTGAACAAGTCATTGTTGATTTCAAGATCACATTCATTGCACCTCAGGCATCCCATAACTGCTCACATCTTTCCCTAAACAGGTTTCATGAGGTTTACAATGACGACTCATGTTCTACACTAGTCAATGTAGCACTGTTTTTCTAATTCATGTTTCATGTTTTAACTATGAGTGCAGAGAAACAGATTATAAACAACATATTCATCCCAACAGTGAGCTAACAGTGTCAGACATGGACACTATTTAAGGCTCATGTACCCAAAAACACCACTTGCTAGATGAGATGCCCTTGAAAAGTCGTCAACTTAACCATCGGAGTAAATATTGATACGATCAGACAGTGTGGGAAAGACACCTTGTACTAGCTTCAGCGAGAAACAGCAGATCCAGTGGCCATCTCGTTAAAATGCAGCTACATCAAATACCATCTTAGAAACTACGTCTCAGATGATTAGCTACAAGATCAAAAGGACAGCTACGGAAAACTTGGATCGACAACATTAAAGACACTCTAACGCCTTCACGGTATGACAATAGCCAGTGCTAGCCAGCATGCACTTGATTTTAAATTGTTCTTCCCCGCAGCGAGTTTTTTTAATGATGATGATGATGACGAGTTTCAATTTGGCATTGCCCTCCAATCGGTCGGCTCTCGACACCGCAGTCGAAAACCAACGTGAGGCGGTCTGCTGCCAAATCCCTGGCAGGTGGGATCAAAACCTGGCACTTTGGAATTACGAAGCGTGTTCACAAGGCCTAAGCCACATATCAATGGTTATTGTCATTCCGTGTCGACGTAGGACAGTGGTCTCTAACCTTTATCGTACAGAAATTATAATGTATGATTCTCAGTCAGTACTGCAGAAGGTTAAACATTGACAACAATGTTTAAGGCTCATGTTTCCATAAGTGGATACCAAGTAGTAGTATGTCAACATTACCACCAAAGGTGGAGAGAGCTGATCAAACAGTCAACAGAAACTGGTGACCCAACGACACATAGTGTTACGGAATAGTGTTGATGATGAATATCCTCTATCTAATCTCTGAGTCCTGTTGCCTTAGTCAATAACCATTATCAGCTGTCCATTTGTCCAGTCTCTATCAGATCTCATCTGTCTGATCTCATCTGTCTGATCTCATTTGTCCAGTCTCATCCGTACGATTTTGTTTTCAGTGGTGGCAATGCCTGTAACCTCACGGCTCTAGACAGTGATGATCCAGAGGGTTTTACATCTACAAATATCAACTGGTAAGTAGACAGTGATGATGCTGAAGGTTTCACATCTACAAATATCAACTGGTAAGTAGACAGTGATGATCCTGAGGGTTTCACATCTACAAATATCAACTGGTAAGTAGACAGTGATGATCCTGAGGGTTTGACATCTACAAATATCAACTGGTAAGTAGACAGAGATGATGCTGTAGGTTTCACATCTACAAATATCAACTGGTAAGTAGACAGTGATGATGCTGAAGGTTTTACATCTACAAATATCAACTGGTAAGTAGACAGTGATGATGCTGAAGGTTTCACATCTACAAATATCAACTGGTAAGTAGACAGAGATGATGCTGAAGGTTTTTAAATCAACTGGTAAGTAGACAGTGATGATGCTGAAGGTTTCACATCTACAAATATCAACTGGTAAGTAGACAGTGATGCTGCTGAAGGTTTCACATCTACAAATATCAACTGGTAAGTAGACAGTGATGATGCTGAAGGTTTTACATCTACAAATATCAACTGGTAAGTAGACAGTGATGATGCTGAAGGTTTCACATCTACAAATATCAACTGGTAAGTAGACAGTGATGATCCTGAGGGTTTCACATCTACAAATATCAACTGGTAAGTAGACAGTGATAATCCTGAGGGTTTTACATCTACAAATATCAACTGGTAAGTAGACAGAGATGATGCTGAAGGTTTCACATCTACAAATATCAACTGGTAAGTAGACAGTGATGATGCTGAAGGTTTTACAACTACAAATATCAACTGGTAAGTAGACAGTGATGATGCTGAAGGTTTCACATCTACAAATATCAACTGGTAAGTAGACAGTGATGATGCTGAAGGCTTCACATCTACAAATATCAACTGGTATGCTGAAGGCTTCACATCTACAAATATCAGCTGGTATGCTGAAGGCTTCACATCTACAAATATCAACTGGTATGCTCAAGGCTTCACATCTACAAATATCAACTGGTATGCTGAAGGCTTCACATCTACAAATATCAACTGGTATGCTGAAGGCTTCACATCTACAAATATCAACTGGTATGCTGAAGGCTTCACATCTACAAATATCAACTGGTATGCTGAAGGCTTCACATCTACAAATATCAACTGGTAAGTAGACAGTGAGATATTGAAGGTTTCACATCTACAAATATCAACTGGTAAGTAGACAGTGATGATGCTGAAGGTTTTACAACTACAAATATCAACTGGTAAGTAGACAGTGATGATGCTGAAGGTTTCACATCTACAAATATCAACTGGTAAGTAGACAGTGATGATGCTGAAGGTTTTACATCTACAAATATCAACTGGTAAGTAGACAGTGATGATGCTGAAGGTTTTACATCTACAAATATCAACTGGTAAGTAGACAGTGATGATGCTGAAGGTTTTACATCTACAAATATCAACTGGTAAGTAGACAGTGATGATGCTGAAGGTTTTACATCTACAGATATCAACTGGTAAGTATTTGTTGACCTGAAAAGTAAATGCAGCTGGTTTGATGTTGACCACATCATCCCCTGAGTACCCATTGGTGTATACAAGCTAGTCTAGCCCTATATGCCCAATACGTCTGAAGACGTGGAAACGGGTCTTTTTAAAGTGTTTGCTCATTTGATGTTTGTTGTTCTCAAATCCTGTTTAGTTCTCTGTTGTAGCACTTGAAATGTTTGGAAGAAGCAAGCAATATAAAAACACAAAATTTCAACATGTGAGATTTGATGCATAAAAATATGGTGGGAAAAACAAGAACAGACAATCACCAGTGAAGAACTAAGAACGATGGTAGGCACAATGCCAGTAAAGTAAAGATCCCTTTTCACACCTTAGGCGCATCAGGCTTAGGGGAATAGTACTCATATTTTTACAGACCAATCGGCACATTTTGGGTAATGTGGTCAGCATTATGCCGGCCATACAATGCCTGTGAAAGATTTAATAGAATATCAAAGAATCAAATGGTTCGGTCATCTGGTCAGAATGGAACCAAATCAGCCAACAGCTAGAGTGTATGACATGAGAACAGGAAGCTACCGGTCAAGAGGTCCACCAAGAAAGAGATGAATGGAGGGGGTAAAATGGACACTACAGAAATAAAAGTATAACATTAACACAAGCAACACAGGCAACTACGTGTAACTGCTCCCTGCGACACTTTACAGCATAAGCATTTAGATAAAAGAAGAAGAAGAAGATGATTGATAGCTCTTCTAAAACTCTGCTTAGTGTTGTGAATCTTGTATCATTTGGAGAACTTGGAGCAAGTTAAATTATTACAATTCATGATTGATGTGAAATTAAAATGAGATGAATAATTGCACCCTGTGTGGGTTCAGGGGCCCCATGGAGGGGGAAAACAAGAATAAACCTACTGCCTGCCCAACAAGCATGTCTTAGGAGGCTTCATTCGAAGTCGAAGTGCATCTGCCCGAGTGGCAAGGAACAAATAACTGCACACAAATAAGCCAGTAAAATGGTACACTCAAAAGAGTCTCTGGCACAAAGCCAAAGTCCAAATGGATGAACAATCATGACTTTCTACTGGAGCTTACAGATGATGAACGAAGAAGAAGAAGAAGAAGAAGAAGAAGAAGAACTGCAGAAGCCAGAAGAGTGTTTGGAAAGAAACAAAACATTGATTGTAGCATTACTGTTTAACTGCGTCCCCATGTGGGTTCCGGGGCTCCATTTTAGAGAACAAAGAATAGACCCACTGTCCCACTAACAAGCATGTCATAGGAGGCTACTAATTAGGGATGTTTCCTTCAGAGTTGGAGTACATCTGCCTGAGAGACAAGGAACCAACAGACTGCATACAAATAAGCCAGATCTGTTAAACTGATGTGCACACAAAATTTAAATTCTGTGAACAAGACTAAGGTCTAAAAGTGGACAAACAACCAGAATTTTCCTCCGGAGTTTTCAGCCGATGAGTGCTAAAGAGAAGAAGAAGAAAATTAAGTTCAACTGTTGAAAATAATAGCTCTATGCAAATCTGGCTGAGAGGTTGAAGTGCCCACTGGGACAGTATCACTGCTGAAAGGTGTATGCAGCATTAGTGTAAAATTATATAACTAGTATTATAGCACTGTAATTTTCAGCACATCTCTTCAAAAGTCAACCAGTCCATTCAGCCTTAAATCGATCCACTTACCCATCCATTTACCCACCTATCCATCAATCCACCCATTAATCTGTCTATCCATCCACCCATTCACCCATCCATTAATCTGTCCATTCATCCATCCATGCGCCCACCAATCCATCTATCCGCACATTCATCTATCAACCCACCCACCCAACCATCCCTTCATAACATCTTCATCAATCCATCGATCCATCCATCCATCCGCCCACCCATCCATCCATCCATCCACCCAACCATCCACCCACCCATCCATCCATCCATCTTCCATCCATCCATCCACCTATTGATTATTCACCTGACCACTTTAATGTAATTAGAGATATATGAAATATATATTCACCTTGCGCTTACACACACACTTACCTGTTCACTTTCCAGGTATGTCCTGCTCTGGGTTCACCGCCCACTGCCCCTGTGGATTGTGGAGATTGTCCTGTCAGTCGTCACTCTGTTCAAGTCCTTAATGTTGGTGTTAGTCACAGCTAAGGTAGGCCAACATGCCAGATAAGAACCTGGACAGTTTGTAATACATTGTTTGGTTACACTGTCAAAAACTTCTCACCGAGGAAAAAAAAAAACTGGTGAAAGCCAAACTTTAGCCAAACTTTTACAGGTCACTGAGTGAATTAAAAAAGACAGTAAAGTTTGTACTAGAGTCTGTAAATCTCCACTGAAAAAAGACAGTAAAGTTTGTACTAGAGTCTGTAAATCTCCACTGAAAAAAGACAGTAAAGTTTGTACTAGAGTCTGTAAATCTCCACTGAAAAAAAGACAGTAAAGTTTGTACTAGAGTCTGTAAATCTCCACTGAAAAAAGACAGTAAAGTTTGTACTAGAGTCTGTAAATCTCCACTGAAAAAAGACAGTAAAGTTTGTACTAGAGTCTGTAAATCTCCACTGAAAAAAGACAGTAAAGTTTGTACTAGAGTCTGTAAATCTCCACTGTGAGTAAATGTTGTATAGATTGTTATGCTTGGGGTGTCTTTAACATCCTTAATCTACCATAACCTTTTCTTTGGTCTCTTCAAGTGAAAATAACAGTTTTAAATGATAGAGAGCCATAAACAGGATGCACTCATGAGAAACGTATAACCCAGATCAAAGCAGCCATTATAATCCATTTGAACACTTTCCATCCAGAACACAATCCTGAAGACTCAATCAACCTCCTCATGTGAAAGAAACAAACAATTATATTTAGATTGCAAACTGCACAAAACAAGACTTTGCAGCCATATGTAAAAGAAAATCAAAATTTGGGACTCGGAACTTCTTCCATGTGGATAGGCACCCTTGATAAAACTGAACTCACACTACAGAGCTCTTTATGCAATAGAGAGATCCCAGGTTAGCATGCTTGTTGAAATTAAATTGTATGGATGAGTGGAGAACAGCATCGCACCACCGCCTTTATTGAGGCCTGTGGCTTCTCATCTGAAAACAACTAGCTTGGTGATTACTGATTTAAGAATCGACATCATAGCACACAGGGCATACCGATAGATACTCCGTCTCCTGCAGCAAATGACGTTAGGTGTAAGCACACTGATTATACACACGCAGATCTCTTCTTCTCATTTGTCCCCCCTTACCGGATCCACACCTAAAAAGAAAAGAAGAAAATTGAAAACCAAAATCGGCAGAAAATAACTGTTTTAAGGCTGTTACAGAAATAAATAACGTATAACCCTCTGTTTAAAAAAATAATTAATCATACAACTTCACAGTTTATGTTAGAAACAAATGATAAATGACTGCCCAGTTTAGCATGACATTAACAAAAAAAATCATTAATGAGACATTTTCATCTCAACTTATCTCATTATACAGTTATTTTTAACAGCCAAAATTAAAACAGAAACTGACACTTTACATGGTGGTTACAGAATTAGTTCACCAAGACTTGGGTCATTTGTCAGCAGCCGCAGGATTATTTTTTCTGACCATTAGGATCTGATGATGACCTAGTCTGCTGAAATGGGTTCTTTTTTAATCTATGCCGTGTGATGTTGGTAGTCATGCTTATCCACAACCTTCTGTCTTGTGTACTTTTTCTTATTGTCCATGCTGTGTGATGTTGGTAGTCATGCTTATCCACAACCTTCTGTCTTGTGTACTTTTTCTTCTAGTCCATGCTGTGTGGTGTTGGTAGTCATGCTTATCCACAACCTTCTGTCTTGTGTACTTTTTCTTAAAGTCTATGCTGTGTGATGTTGGTAGTCATGCTTATCCACAACCTTCTGTCTTGTGTACTTTTTCTTCTAGTCCATGCTGTGGGATGTTGGTAGTCATGCTTATCCACAACCTTCTGTTTTGTGTACTTTTTCTTATTGTCCATGCCGTGTGGTGTTGGTAGTCATGCTTATCCATAACCATCTGTCTTGTGTACTTTTTCTTAAAGTCTATGCTGTGTGATGTTGGTAGTCATGCTTATCCACAACCTTCTGTTTTGTGTACTTTTTCTTCTAGTCCATGCCGTGTGGCGTTGGTAGTCATGCTTATCCATAACCATCTGTCTTGTGTACTTTTTCTTAAAGTCTATGCTGTGTGATGTTGGTAGTCATGCTTATCCACAACCTTCTGTTTTGTGTACTTTTTCTTCTAGTCCATGCTGTGGGATGTTGGTAGTCATGCTTATCCACAACCTTCTGTCTTGTGTACTTTTTCTTCTAGTCCATGCCGTGTGGCGTTGGTAGTCATGCTTATCCATAACCATCTGTCTTGTGTACTTTTTCTTAAAGTCTATGCTGTGTGATGTTGGTAGTCATGCTTATCCACAACCTTCTGTTTTGTGTACTTTTTCTTCTAGTCCATGCTGTGGGATGTTGGTAGTCATGCTTATCCACAACCTTCTGTCTTGTGTACTTTTTCTTAAAGTCTATGCCGTGTGGTGTTGGTAGTCATGCTTATCCACAACCTTCTGTCTTGTGTACTTTTTCTTAAAGTCTATGCTGTGTGATGTTGGTAGTCATGCTTATCCACAACCTTCTGTCTTGTGTACTTTTTCTTAAAGTCTATGCCGTGTGGTGTTTGTAGTCATGCTTATTCACAACCTTCTGTCTTGTGTACTTTTTCTTCTAGTCCATGCTGTGGGGTGTTGGCAGTCATGCTTATCCACAACCTTCTGTCTTGTGTACTTTTTCTTAAAGTCTATACTGTGTGATGTTGGTAGTCATGCTTATTCACAACCTTCTGTCTTGTGTACTTTTTCTTAAAGTCTATGCTGTGTGATGTTGGTAGTCATGCTTATTCACAACCTTCTGTCTTGTGTACTTTTTCTTCTAGTCCATGCTGTGGGGTGTTGGTAGTCATGCTTATCCACAACCTTCTGTCTTGTGTACTTTTTCTTAAAGTCTATGCTGTGTGGTGTTGGTAGTCATGCTTATTCACAACCTTCTGTCTTGTATACTTTTTCTTATAGTCCATGCCATGTGGCACTGGTAGTCATTTGTGTACTTTCAGTCAGCTCTGACACAGATGATCTATCATGCCATGATATCAGTCTGTTCAGCATCTTCTCTCTCAATATTCCCCTGCCTCTTTGCCCCTCTCACCCTCCCAGATTCACGATGTACTCCAGTTTTCTCATGCTCATGACATGATCAAAGAATGTAGAATGTTCCCTTGTCATGTAGGCAGTCAGTTCTCTTCATGAGTCAGTTTCTTTCAAGACATCTTCATTACTCTTTTTGTCTGTCCAGGCCATACTCATCATTTGTTTATAAAAGCACATCTCCCCCTCTTTCACATAATTTGTGTGTGAAATAGCCTGCTATCCATGTTTTAGTTCCATAATAATAAGTTATGATTTATATAGCTCTTGAGAACTCTTCTGTTTCTTACCTTAAGTGACAAAGAAAGCGTGCATAGAATTTCTTTGTTTTGTAAAATACTGGCCTTGTTTGAGCTATTGAAATAGGTTACCAGATAATGTAAACAGTTTTGGTGAAACTTACTGGGAAGGAAAGCCATTGAGAAAAAGAACTGGTCACCCCACCTAATTATTCTGTAGCTGAGTATCTGTGAAAACTAATACTTTACATCTCTAGTCTCATGTTTATGCCCATACCCTTCTCACACCCAGGGATGTCTTTTATTTCTTGACCCCTCTCAAGTCCATCCCATTTCCTTTGGTAGGTGTTTTCAAATGCGTTTAACTTTTATTCCATGTTCTTTAGTGGTTCTTCAGCTTTCACTTTGCTAATTTTACAACTGAAATAACATTAGAATTGAAATGATCTAACTTGGTTTGAAAACTGTACAATTTAGAGTAAAAGACAGCTAAATGTTTATTATTCTCTTTCCATCTCTGCACTTCCAGTGGATGTCAGGTAAGATGTATAGAGACATAGAACTCTCTGGTGTCTGGTTCATTTTGACAATTTGACTGGATAAAATCTTATTTTATTAATGAATAACAATAACCTGCAGTCCTGTGTGGGTTCGAAGGCAGTTATGTTTATGTTTATTCAACGGATCAACATCATGGCACGCGGGTGTAACCAATAAGTGCTCCATTCTACTTCTAACTCAAGCCTGAGTCTGAGGTTTCTCAGCATAGTGCATGAATTATATAGCACCGGATAGGATCCTGAAACACTTTGGGTAGATTTTTAACTCCAAATTGTACCCGGTCAGCGCCGTTAGGCTACTCTTTTTGATTTTCAACTGCTAAGGGATCTTTTTACATTCGCAACAATACACACAAGCCAGAGACCAGGGGAAATTTACTAGAAATCCACGTGAAAAAATCCCAGCCTTCACCGGGGAGGAAATTACACGATGCTACTCTCATACAAATTTTCAGCACGATATTCTTACCAGCACTGCGCTATCAGTGTCAAACATGGACAGTGTCTTCAGAAGACAGAAGAAAAACAGTCACAACAGAAATGAAATGTTTACATACTATGCTGGGTGTAACAAGGAAAGATCGACTTATGAACGATGATATCAGGAGGAGAGTCAGTACAGAACCAATACAGTACTTTATAGGCAGACAACAAATCAAATATTTCGGCTATGTAACAAAATTGGATTCAGACAGGGCACCAAAGAGAGCAGTGTTATACAGTTACAATGGTTCCCCTGAAGTCGGAGTACATCTGCCAAAGAGGCAGGGAACGAGAACTGCAAACAAATAAGCCAGTAAAACGGATGTACAAGAGAAACTCAGGTCCAGGTAAAAGCCAAAAGTCCAATTGGACGAACAACCGGGACTTACCGCCGGAATTCACAGCCGGTGAACAAGAAGAAGAAGAAGTTACAATGGTAATAGAGCTAGAGTTCGACCACACAGAATATGGACCGCAAAAATATCAGAGACACTGAAAATTACTTAATACGAAGAGAACATACAAGTCAGTTCCATAGATCTTTTCCTGTCCTGACACCACGAGGCATTCCAGGAGTAGAGAAAAGAACAAGAAGTCTCATATTTATAGTCCAATATGCACTTGATGAATGATTTGTCCTGTCTGACACCATTCACTTTTACTTCTTAGAGAATTATCCATGTTACTCTGGGTTGGCTTTGGAGTTGAGGTCCATTGTAACATTTTGTATTCAACAGAATTTGATTTGAAAGTATAATCAATGAGCCAGCAGGCAAGCGTGTTAGCAACTGTGCTTTCATGGTTCTGCAGTGTCGCTTGTGTCCTCGATTAAAATTTGTCTTCCAACAGCTTGTTAGTTCCCTGGAACTTAATCCAGTGAACTGTGACTAAAAGGCTTAACAAAATAGGGAAGCATAACAACGTGCACGAAACAAAACAACACAAATCGACGTTTTGGCCAGGGCTGAACTACACAACAATAACAAGGAGGAGTCGAAGTGTTGTTTAGTTTTCCTTACCAGCGTAGGAATGGAGGTTACCCCAGGCTGCTTTAGCTGGTATGGATGCCCTATGTATAATCTCTTTAGAGGTTGAACCGGGTATCCAAGGTTTGCCTGGTTAGTTTCCAGTCCAATCTTATATTTTGTAATATTAAATATATTATCTTCTGCATTCACCTTTAAATGGCAGGTTGGCTTGTTGTGTTGGGGTTTACAGCAAGGCTGTGATATCTGAAACCTATAGCCCAACACAAATAATTTTAGCCCACCCTTGATTAGTTCCCTTGAACAACATGGTTGTAAAGAGGGCATCAGTTGACTTCCTTTTTTTCTTCCAGCATAGGGTCGAATAACCAACACAGAGAATATTGTGTAATCTCAGGCTGCCGTACCTTCTGATAGCAACCCAGAGGGGAAACATAGAAGGAATGAGTTAAACTAACAATTTATAAAAATGAGTTCATATGTTAACTCTCATGTTCTGGAGTTAATATGTTAACTCTCCTCGTTCTGGAGTTAATATGTTTACTCTCCTTGTTTTTGCCTTTCTAACCACGAATGGAGCATAGGCCCTCAACCAACTCCCGCCAAATCGTACTATCCTTCGTGCAGCTCTCCCCATGTCCTCCCCACCTTGTTAACTTTCTAGCTTCCTTCTCCATTTTTCTTCTTCTTTTATTTCTGTGCCACTGTTCGTTCCAGTGCAAAGACATTCTAGTTATATTGTTCTCAGGTTTTCCTAACATATGTCCTATTGAATGCCAGCGTCTTTTCTTCACCTCTTGGTCCACTGAACTTGTTTAGACAACTATCCATGATAAAAGGGCCAGAAATGAGCAGTCATCAGACTAAAGAATCAGCGTGTGATGGTAGGGAAAATTCCATGGAAGTTTACTGACAGTTTTTCTTATCTTGGTGTATGACATTTTTACATGATTTGTAATCCTGATTGTTGCTGTCTTCCACAGGGAAATGTCTTGGTGGTTGTGGCCTCCAAGTACTTTTTGCTGGAAATGTTTTGCAGTGTTCCTATTGTTGTTTCAGTAAGTATGACATTTTAATACTTTTTTCTCTTTTTTCTCCTCCTAGACATATTGGGCAGGTAGGTAGCAGGTGCAGTCCTGGGAAGTAAAGGCGGCCCGAGTGATGATGACCACATTAAACACCAAGTGCCAATGGGTTTATAAAATATAGGTCTAGCCCTGTATACCCAATACAAAGGTGTGGAAAAGGGTCCTTTTCTAGTACATGTGTGTATTTGTATGTGATTATGTGTGCATAATATGTATATGCATTTAACACTACAACTATATACATTAATAAATAATAAATATTTCATTGTTTCTCCCACAGGCATTTTGGCCTCCTGTTCTTCAGCATATATTTTTCCCAACATTTCTGAACTGTTGGCTAGCCCTCATGTCTTTCAGACGTTTGTTGGTAAGTTTTGTTGCGCAGATGAACAATCGGAATCTTGTAGAATGTTATTGTTTCAAATTATTCAAAGTTTCTGTCACATGCAAGTTTAGTTTTCTTCTTTAGTGATTGAAAAATAGGCCAAGACTGACGGCGGTGTGTTATACAAGACAAGAAAGTTGTATGTTCTCAGAATATTTACTTTTATATGTAGTTGCTGATGTAATCTTGTGCTTTATAACACACATTTACATAGCAACATCAACTTTCAAAAGCCCGAACAAAATATGGAACTCTAAATTGTTTCATTTTAAAACCAGTTTAGATATTTTGAATTCCAGTGTTATGTTATTTACGAAGACAGCACATCAGATGGTTTGCCAGCTTAGAGAGAATGCCTTGTCACGTCATATCATACAAGGCATACACCAAAAGAGGAGATGGACAAAGAAAATGAGGTAGACCAAGAACCAACTGGAAAGATAACAGAGAAAATCTACAATAGCACGATCTCTGTGGCCGAGGCAGCCATAAGAACAGGAAGCAGAACCTTATATCTACCTCGACATCTAAAGCAGTAAAATATGAAGTGAAGAAAAAAGAAGAATGTTATTTAAGTTTAAACACTCCCAGTGTGGCTTCCGGGGCCCTATTTTAGGGGGGCCAAAAAAAAGAATAGACGCACTGCCTACCCAAAAGCATGTTGTAAGAGTTGACTAATTGGGGAGCTTCCTTTGAAGTCCGAGTGCATTTGCCTGAGAGGCAAGGAACCAGCAGTCTGCATACAAATGAGTCAGATCTGTAAAACAGATGCACACGCAACACTCAGGTTCTGGAACAGGACTGCAGTCCAAAAGTGGATGAACAACCAGAACTTTCTGCCAGAGTTTACAGCTGGTGAACACGAAGAAGAAGAAGAAGTTTAAACATAGACCAGTGAAAGTCAGGGAACCAGTTATGACATGGAACAAAAGTTAAATGCATTTTGAAAACAAATACCTAAGGAAGCTGATGAACATTAAATGTGATGAATTTAAAAAAGACAAAGAAATGAGAGAAATGTCTGCACAGCCACTGTAGCAACAGTATAAGACAAAGAAGATGGGGATATACTGGGCACATTCTGAGGAGGAATGAACCGAGAATCCCTCCATGGTATTGACACAACTGCTCAAGATAGAATGGAATGGAAGAATAAATTATGAACCTATGTGACAACCTCTAACAGCACACCAAGATGAAGGGTTGAGGTTGTGCTATAGACATAATGTTTCTGTGCTTCCCCCAAAATTAAGACCAGATCTTAAATACATTTTTGCTTAAAAAATGTGTTAAGACTTTTTTTCAGGGGGATGCCTTTTTTTTCAGGTACAAAAACCTACATTTATTCAGGTACAGAATTCTACATTTATTCATGTACAAAATCCTACATATATTCAAAAACAATCATGTCCCCTTCTTTTGGAACATCTTCAAAACTGTCCAATTCCCAATTTTCAGTCTGCATTTGTTATGGCTCCATTTTCTATAGAACCTTTGGTCCTAGTCTCTCATTCTAGCTGAGGATCTTACCTAGATCTTTTTTAGGGTGGGTATTATTTTCTGGAAATCACTGTATTAAACTCCTTCATGTCTACACATCAATCATTTCCTGCTGTGACACCCAGTGACCTGTTTATGTTACAGAATGATTTTCATCTGGCAAAACAGAGGTTCCAGACCATGTCGGTCACTTTATCCCAACAGTTATGGTTCCTGATCGCCACACTTTGCAGTCTTGTATTTACCACGTAAGTATTCATTTCTCAGATGTGCGCCTGTTGGTGTGAAGGTCTAGGGTTCAATTCTGCATCATGAGGAGACTTTTTTTCTTCTTCAAAACTGACCTTGGCTCCCAGGTGTACACAGTAAACAATGGGTAATGTCTTGGGAAATAAAGGTGACTGGTGTGATGGTGAGGACATAACCAGATTGCAGATCGGTCTGTAGGTTTAGCACTATTTGCCCGGTGTACAGAGGGTGAGAAGGGTCCTGCACCGAGTGCTGATTGGTGTATACCTAGTAAGCCTAAAGGTGTGGAACAGGCTCATTTACTTTGCTTTTATAATTAAGAACTTATCTTCTTCTTTTGTCAAAATCTGCTTGTGCCGCTAGGCGTCACAGTCTATCAGATGATCAGCAACCGAGCCAGGGCGCGCTCAGTTGCTTCATATGCCGTGATGTTATGAAGTCTCAAGTTGTACGTGACTCCTTCAATCCATCTTCTTCTTGGTCTTCCCCTGCCTCTTGGTGTTTCAATTTTCATGTTGCGAAAGAACTTATCATTTATAAATATTCTTCTTCTGTTCTCCTTCTGATAATACTGCAAAGCGTCACAGAGAGAAGTTAGATGTGGTTTCCTGGACTTTACTGGTTGTGTAGCTTGTGTTAATGTCATACTGAATATCTTTAGTGTCTCTTTTACTCCTTCAACCCATCTATTTCTTGGTCGGCCTCATGCCATGTAGCCTGCTGTTCTCATGAAGTATGCTATAACTGCTGGCTGATTTTGTTCCATTCTGACCAGATGACCGAACCATTTGATTCTTTGATGTTCTATGAAATCATTGACCTATACTGTGCCTACTATAGTTCTTTGTTCTTCATTGGTGACTCTGTCTCTTCTTCTTCTTTTTCCTAAGGTATTTCTTATACATCTAATTTCACATGTTGTATTTTTGTATTTATGTTTTTCTAGGACTATCCATATTTTGCATTGATAACACAAAGTTGGTACCAAATAGTGCATTTATCAGCTGTTCTAATATTTTTTTTTATAAACATCACAATCGCAAAACGAATTGTATTTGAAAGTTTAAGTGTTAGTGTATAAATTGTATATAGGACCTCATAAATTTGTTCAGTGGACCCTCTGGGGTCTACAGAATGGGAAAGAACCACCTTATACTGTCTGGCAAGGTACATGTTGATAACTCATTTATCATCAATTCAAAAGTTTGTGCGGTGGATGTCTGGTCCACATAGAGACAATTAAAAGTAGTTAACAAAAAAAAAAAAAAAAAAAAAAAAAACTCTAATGCCATAGGAATATTATACATAATAAACAAAGAGAAGGTAATGATTAGCGCTCATAGAAAGAAGTAGAAAGAAGGACACACCAGACAAAATAAAAATTGTCAGTAATATTTACCATGCCAGGAATCAAACCAGTCACCTCAATATGGCATGTGCACCTCACTATGGAAACAAATTTGCTAAGATACATGACCAACTAGGCACTCTTTCGTTGGCCATGTCTATCCTACAGCTTGAAATCCTCAGCTATGCAGTTTGGACATAATTCATCCCAGTTAAAGGGTTTGACAGAATCACCACTGAAAAGCTTTGGGAGAGAACAAAACAGGTTTCAGTGAACTAGGAGGTGAGGAAAAGGTGTTGGTGTGGGATAGGACATACACTGAGAAAGCCTGTTGAAAATATAACTAGAATGTCACTATACTGGAACCCATTGGAATTAAAGCAGAAAAAAACTAACAGAGAAAAGAATTAGAAAATGATGTAAAAAAATGGGCAGGACACAAGAGTTAGCTGCAAGTTTATAGCTTGACTTGATGGCTTCGACTGGTTGACAGACTATGCCCCATTGGGGAGAGGTGGGGGGGGGGGGAGGGCAGTAGAAGAAGAAAAGATATCTAGTTTATGTGGTGTTTCATAACCACTTTTCCCCGCTGCCAGAATCTGTGGTATACAGCACATCCAGCGTGGCAGTGCCGATCGACCTCTGAACCTGTTTGAGGCAGTCTACTTTGTGATTGTCACCCTGTCGACTGTCGGCTACGGAGACATCTCCCCGGATATCTGGCTGGGTCAGCTCTTTATGATCATCATGATTTGTATCGCTTTTTCCTTCATACCTAGACAGGTGAGCATTCTTCAACTTCAACCTTTTTTAAATTTAATAAGCTTTTATTAAGTTCACTTTTGTTCCATATTTTATTGATATTTGTCTTCTGTATTTCTCTTAAAATGTTGGTTGGTATTTTGTGTTGTGGTTTATAGCCAGGCTGCAACTTTCAGACGAGCAAATCTGGTCTCAGCAAACCATGGTTAGTCACCTTTTGTGGCATACTTGTTTGGGGGGGGGGGGGGGGGGGGTAGTGGATCTATATTTACTGGTACCCATTTTAGGCTGGGTAAACCTAGGAGCCAACATTGTTTTTATAAACATCCACCTCAGTGCTGACCCAAACCCAAGATCTTCAGGCCAGGAGGGACGCATCTTTCTACTGTGGCCATCTTAGATCTTATAGAATTTCAGGATTATTTTAGTCTAAAGTATTAGATGAATTGTCCCTTGTAAGTTTAGAAATCTAATTATTTCTCTTTAATTAATCATTATGAAGTGAAATGCTTTACAGTTTTTGTTGTAAAAACTGTTTATAATATTTCGGATGTTACAATTTTTTAACAAGGGGGCAGAGTTGTTTGCTGTCAAATTGCTTGCATGTTGAATTAAACAGGGTATCTCGGAATAAGAAAGCATGTCCACAACACCAGAGTCACAGATGGTGACATAAGACTAGTATATTTCAAAATTCTTGGTTGTCTTTGAGGTTTTTCAAATATACCAATCATTTTTTGTGAACTGCACTGTTGGGACCATCCTTCTTCTCTTCTTCTGCCTTTCTAGCCCTAGTGGAGCATAGGCTCTCAACAAACTCACGTCAAGTTGTTCTGTCCTTCGCTATTGCATGCAGTTTTTCCGCATGTCCTCCCCATCTATTTAACTACACTCTCTAGCTTCCTTCTCCATGTGTTTTTTAAAATCTTCCTTTATTTCTATACCCCTGTGTCCCAGCGCAAAGACATTCTGGTTATATTGTTCTCACTTTTCTAAACATGTGTCCTATCCAGCGCCAGCATCTTTTCTCCACCTCTTGTTCCACTGGAACTTGTTGACTTCACTCCCAAAGCTCTACATTAGTGATTCTATGATACAGTTTAATTCCTTGTATTCTGTGCAGGCAACAGTTTACTCTTTAGCATCACAGGCCCAATAGGTTGTAAAGAGAGACTAAAATCGACACATCATGCGTTCATTGGGCTTCTAGGTAAGAACCTATGAACGTATGATGAGTTCCCTGGGACTCAAAGAGTTAATGAATGTTTTTAGTTTTGCTTACTTTTTGCTTTAGTTTTGGATCATCCTGCTCTAGATGATTTGATTGTGAATAGAGATGTTTGAGGTAACTCTGAGGATGTTAGGGGTAACTCTGAGGATGTCTGGGGTAACTCTGAAGGATGTTTTATTACTGATGTTCTGGTTCCACAGCTGGAAGAAATTGGTTCAACCTGGGCTCAGAGGAAACGGATGGGCGGTGACTACAGCAAGAGACCTTCAGCTAAATATAAGCACGTTGTTGTTATTGGTACACAGTTCACCATCGAATCCGTAATGAGTTTTCTGAGTGAATTCTTTGAGCATCCTAAACTAGAGGTGAGTTCACTTCATTTATTCTCCCAACGCTGGTTCAGGGGCTCCGTTGTGGGGGAACCAGAATAGACCAACTGCCTGCCCAAAAGCATGCAGTAAGAGTCGGCAAATTAGGAGCTTTCTTCGAAGTCGGAGTAAATCTGCCTGAGAGGCAAGGAACTAACAGTCTGTACACAGATGAATCAGACCTGTGAAACACATGTGTCTGCAAACTCAAGTTTCTGGAACAGGACTAGTCCAGAAGTGGACGAACAACCCAAACTTTCCACAGAATTTTACATCCAATGAATGTGAAGAAGACTTCATTTATTGCTGTCATGGTGTCATCTTTATAGGGCGTTGCCTGGTCTAATTGTGCTTCTTATCTGCAACTTGATGACTTGTGAGAGGATTGAAACATAACTGATTCCAGATTGGATGATTTGTGACTTCTGCTTGAATTGATTAAACTTTCATTAACTGCTGCTTGATATGAATAAATATAACTGGTGCTTGATTTGACTTGTGGTCTAATATAGCAGATAGGCATTCAGCCCCTTATAGCTTCTGACCTTGGCTTGATGCCTTTTCCACATATAGGGACTAGAGTTCATGGTTTTATTGCCCAGCTACTGAGTTGTATGCTTGGTGCAACACTATCAGCTGTGAATTTTGTGTGGTGTGCCTTTCATCTGTGCAGTTTGCATTTTGTGTTGTGATATTCATTAAATGAAAGGTGGCTGGGTTTTTCCTGGACTGGTGATGTGCCTTATGCAGTAATATTATATATACTTGCCAGCTTGTCATGACTGACTACTTCCAACATTGATGAATTAAATTTCTAGTGAGTACATTATGCATTTACTGCATGTATATGCTTCTGGAACAGATATTTTAAACCACGACACTGGGCTGCAACCTGGTAAAAGTGAAGAATGACAATAGATAGATATGCTTCTGGATTTTACTAGAACTAATGTATTCATTAACTGCTATTCAAATAGGACAGTGAGAGGTATTTTGTGTCATTGTCACTTTCACAGAAACAGAGTAATTGTGATGTAATTTTTTTTAGCAAAGTTGAAACTTTTACAACCAGTGATCAAGCAACTGATGCTTGATTAGAGAATCTTTCTCTTATGTCATCTGAGAGTTCTCACTACCTCTGTGAGCATGTCATTTAAAGCATGTTGAAAAATGTGGCGGTAGGCTCTGGGCAGAGTGGCAAGTATCATTACAGAGGTCCATCTAGTTAATATTGTTTGGATATTTTTTCAAGGACATGCAAGAGTTTTGGGAATGACCAGGCAGACTTGGCTGGTTTTGCAGCACTTGGTGGTCAAGTGGGGCGGTGACAAGGTAGATGTTTTCAAGGTTCTTTCGGAGTGAGTGAACAGTGGGTAGGTGCAGATGGATCATTATGGTCTGAAGAGAAAGGTGGGAGAAGTGACCAGGGATTTGACTCAACACTCAGGGGAGGGGTGAGACTACAATCCGACTGCTACTGGTACTAAAAGAATTGGAAGTCTACACTGGCTGCTGAATATGGGATCTGGGCATTTGTGGAACTGTCCTGAGTGCTGTGATGTGATTCTTAATTCATTTCAACTGTGTTCAGGTCATATCATTATAATTCTATGTATTCCACTACCCATAAACATATGTTTTGCTTGGTGGTTTTTCCTATCATTAGCTTATAATTCAATGTCAGATGTTAATCAGTGAGCAGTCTTTATAGAGAGATTTAAGGGGATGATAGAATCACAGAGGTAGAGTTTTGGGAGAGACTAAACAAGTTTCAGTGGACTAAGAGGTAAAGAAGACGCTGACATTGAATAAGACACATATTTAGAACATCTGAAAACAATATAACTAGTGTCCTTGCACTGGAACCCACAGGGACATAGAAATAAAGGAAGAAACACATGGAGAAGGGAGTTAGAGAGCAAAGTTAAAAAGATAGGGAGGTCATGCAGAGAGCTACATGTGAAAGCAAAGGATAGACTGACTTGTGAGTTGAGGGCTAATGCTCCAGTGGGGGTTAGAAAGGAAGAAGAAGAAGAAGAAAGATCAGTCTCTTGTTATTCACTTTAAAAAAAAAACATTTTTTAAAATAAATTTTATAAGTGTTGTCTATGTTCTTCTGTCCAGTCATGTTCTGGAAATAATTTTTTTTTTTTTTTTCAGTTTTGAAAATAGAAATATACTTTTAGTGTGCTGATTCTGATTTCCAGAACCATACAGTAATACTGATGAGCTCAGAGGAACTTGATGACAACATGCAGTTTATTTTGAAAGACCCTAAATGGGCTTTAAGAGTGTTGTACATACGGGGCTCTGCCCTCAAAGACATTGACCTCAAGCGTTGCAGGTGGGTTTTTAGAAGAAGACGAGTAAGGTTTTATCTTATCTTTTGCTTCTTTTCTACCTTCTGACTTTCAATGGTAAATTGATGCATGACAAGCTATATTTTATCAAAGCCCTTTTGGAGAATGTGAACAGTGCAGAGGCACAGACAGATCATCACAGACAAGAAGAGAATGAGGCAGCGAGAAGTGATCATCAGATTTGACTGATGATACTCAGAAGAAAGCAAAACAGACATTCTGGTACAATTGAAATTTAAACTGCACTGGCTGCTGAAGATGGAGATGGAACGCTTATGGGAATATCCTGAGTCCTATGATGTCAGTTTTTAACTCACCTAAACTTTCAATGAGACATAGGCCAAGTGCTTTTGTAAAATTAATCTTGATAGGTTGGAATTCTAGTTACAGTTTTCTTTGAGATCAGATAGCCAATCTCATGCCGGTACTTCTTATTGCCTCTTATCTGTGAAATTGAATGCATTATAGGAACCCGTGTAACATTTCTTTATTTACTGTAACATAGTCTGAGTTATTTTATATACTTTTTAATTCCCATTATCCCCATGTGGGTTCTGGGGTCCCAGTTTGGGGGGGAAAAGAAGAGACCCTCTGGACCCGTAACAGCCATTCAAAAGAGGCAACTAACTAAGGCTAAGGGTGTTTCTTTCAAAGTCAGAGTGTAGCTGCTTTGGAGGTGAGAAACTAGCGGCCTGATCTGTGCATGCAGAACTCAAGTTCTGGAACTTAAGTCCAGAAGTGGATTAGTATCCAGAGCTTTCCACTGGAGTTTACAGACAGTGATCACTTAGAAGATGCATATTTCAGTTATATTGTCAGTAGTTGCAGCCGTCTGAAGCTATGGTGTTATGTGACCAGTATATTTACCTGCTAACACAGTAGTTGGAGGTTTGATCTAGAACAGTTGCGATATTGACATTATTCTCACCAGTGCGGCTCTGAAATTGACCCACTTCATAATAAATAAATAAAAACAACTACTTTAAAAAAAAAATGAGAGTTACAAATATTGCTGTATCCTTACATGCTGGACTCTGTGGTGAAGTGTTTGAGCCGTTTTCCCTACATTCTGTATGTCATGGGTTCATTCCATAGCTGTGTCATTCAGTTCATGAGCACATTTTTTATGAAGATCCCTGAGGATCGTTGCTGATGCTATGGAATTCCTGCTTTGTGTTAAGCTCTTAGCAGGTGGCTAGCTATTTTGCAGAGAGAGACTGAGACATATGGGATAAAACCTGATGCAGTGAAGTCTGTCTTCTTGACCTAACATTTACTGTTCTCATGCACATGAACTGCTGGTGTGGCAATTACGGGTTCCCCAATAACTTCTCTGGAGGATGAATGGGATTTGCCCTGTCAGCCATTTTGAAATTTTGTAATCTCAATGTGTCAGACTTTCTGATAACAACCTGGCAGTTTGAAAAAAAATATATGGCTATCCTCTGAATAACGGGCACAAAATATGGCGGCCGCAAAAACACCCTAACAGAGCCTCATTTACGTGTCAATTATGCACTTCCGGCGACCTAATTTGCGGTTTTCCGGTGACTACCGCCACCGCCGAGAGTATCCCCGTGGCATGGATTGGGGCTAAACTAGATGGCTGGGACTCATGAGTAGCAGCTTCTGCATCTCCTGCAGCTTTGCTCGTGAGTCCCAGCCATCTAGTTTAACCCCAATCCACGCCACGTGAGGGGTGTGGGGGATACTCTCGGCGGTGGCGGTAGTCGCCGGAAAACCGCAAATTAGGTCGCCGGAAGTGGGCAATTGATACGTGACTGAGGCCTTGTTTTTGGTCGCCATTGGCCGCCATATTTTGTGCCCGTTATTCGGAGGATAGTCAAATATATATATATTTATGTTAACTACATTTTTTTTTTTTAAATGTGTAAAAGCAGCTATATGAGATTTTGTTCTGTTGTTATTAAAAAAATTAACTCTTGCTCTCAGGATAAATGAGGCCGAAGCGTGCTTTTTTCTGGCCAACAAGAAAAGTGGCAATGTAGAGAAATCTGTGAGTGTCTATTTTACACTATCTTGTGAATGAAGTTTTGATTCTAGATCAAAATGTCATATGTGTATCAATTGTGTATGTGATAGAAGAGAAATCTAAAGATTTAAGTTAAACTGTTTCACAGTGTGAAGTTTTGGGCCAAGATTGATGCTGTATTTCTTTCATAAGTATGAGGAAAATAATCTACATTTTCAAAAAATTGTTTCAGAATATATAAAGACATTTGAAGGTCTAATCAATAAACTTAAACAGGGTGAAGCATTAAATTGAATACCTTTCCCCAGCTGCTTGACAATATGTATTGGGCAACTCATGCTGTGACCTCTACCACAGAGGCTATGGCAGAATTTGACCTCATTTGGTTCACAACACCCCCCCCCCCCCCCCCCCATGCTGTTTTTAGTAAATATATTCATGTCCTGACCTTTTGAACACTGCAAAGGTGGGGCCGTGTTGGCGCAGTCGATAATAGACTCACTTTTAAATCCAGCTGCGGCTCGCTGCAGCCCACGGTCGGTGTTCGAAACTGGGTAGCTCCTGGGGTTCACCCAGCCTCTAGGAAATGGGTACCAGAGTTAACACTCTGGGGTAAATAGAGGAACGTCGCTGTAGCCACAGAGTTACGTGCGGATGGCGACACAGGCGGACAGTTCTTATCAGCTGTCCGTACTGGTGGCAGAGCACTTATGGTTTTAAAACCGTGTGCAATGATGCTGGTTCACATCTCCCGACTTCACCTTTACTGCAAAGGTACACAAACAGCCAGTGGCATTAACTCTTTGAGTCCCAGGGGGTTTAGCATCACAGGCCCAAGGGGTAGTCATGATAGACGTAAAATCGGCGCATCATGCTTTCATTGGGCCTCTAGGTAGGAATCTATGAACGTATGATGCGTTCCTTGGGACTCAAAGAGTTAACTAAGTGTCCCCTAAACACAATATTGTAGAAAGGCCAGGTAAGCAGCATTCTTGGAGACCCTACCAGAAGTGCTGAGTTTGTGGTTTCTTGGGATGACAGGGTTAAACAAGAAGGAATATAATACTTAAAGCAGTGATATGAGACAGTCTAAAGTCTGGGCCAAAAATATACAGTTTTGAGCAGTTATCTAAAAGAGACGGTTCTGAAACCTGGAGTACAAGTAAAAAAGACAAAACCTTATTACACACATTTAAGAACTGGGTCTTACAATGATTAATATTTGGACTCATCAAAGATGCAAACAAAGGAGCGGCAAAAAAAAAACATGCATCATCTGTTTTAATAACCATTTATTACTATCATCAAGAGGGCTAACAGACTACAATGATTCGGACTTTATATAAAAAGAATAAATAAGGAAAGAGACAGAAATAGTATACACAATTAGTGTCTGACTTTGCATCTAATCTATACACATATACACAATTGTGTGTTGACTTTGCCTCTAATCTATACACAATTAGTGTCCGACTTTGCCTCTAATCTATACACAATTAGTGTCTGACTTTGCCTCTAATCTATACACAATTAGTGTCTGACTTTGCCTCTAATCTATACACAATTAGTGTCTGACTTTGCCTCTATACACAATTAGTGTCTGACTTTGCCTCTATACACAATTAGTGTCTGACTTTGCCTCTATACACAATTAGTGTCTGACTTTGCCTCTAATCTATACACAATTAGTGTCTGACTTTGCCTCTAATCTATACACAATTAGTGTCTGACTTTGCCTCTAATCTATACACAATTAGTGTCTGACTTTGCCTCTATACACAATTAGTGTCTGACTTTGCCTCTATACACAATTAGTGTCTGACTTTGCCTCTATACACAATTAGTGTCTGACTTTGCCTCTATACACAATTAGTGTCTGACTTTGCCTCTAATCTATACACAATTAGTGTCTGACTTTGCCTCTAATCTATACACAATTAGTGTCTGACTTTGCCTCTAATCTATACACAATTAGTGTCTGACTTTTTGCCAATTAGTGTCTGACTTTGCCTCTAATCTATACACAATTAGTGTCTGACTTTGCCTCTATTATCTATACACAATTAGTGTCTGACTTTGCCTCTATACACAATTAGTGTCTGACTTTGCCTCTATACACAATTAGTGTCTGACTTTGCCTCTAATCTATACACAATTAGTGTCTGACTTTGCCTCTAATCTATACACAATTAGTGTCTGACTTTGCCTCTAATCTATACACATTAGTGTTAGTGTCTGACAATTTGTCTGACTTTGCCTCTATACTAATCTATACACAATTAGTGTCTGACTTTGCCTCTAATCTATACACAATTAGTGTCTGACTTTGCCTCTAATCTATACACAATTAGTGTCTGACTTTGCCTCTAATCTATACACAATTAGTGTCTGACTTTGCCTCTATACACAATTAGTGTATGACTTTGCCTCTAATCTATACACAATTAGTGTCTGACTTTGCTTCTATACACAATTAGTGTATGACTTTGCCTCTAATCTATACACAATTAGTGTCTGACTTTGCCTCTATACACAATTAGTGTCTGACTTTGCCTCTAATCTATACACAATTAGTGTATGACTTTGCCTCTATACACAATTAGTGTCTGACTTTGCCTCTATACACAATTAGTGTCTGACTTTGCCTCTAATCTATACACAATTAGTGTCTGACTTTGCCTCTATACACAATTAGTGTCTGACTTTGCCTCTATACACAATTAGTGTCTGACTTTGCCTCTAATCTATACACAATTAGTGTCTGACTTTGCCTCTAATCTATACACAATTAGTGTCTGACTTTGTGTACACAATTGTCTGACTTTGCCTCTATACACAATTAGTGTCTGACTTTTGCCTCTATACACAATTAGTGTATGACTTTGCCTCTCTAACTTTGCCTCTATACACAATTAGTGTCTGACTTTGCCTCTAATCTATACACAATTAGTGTCTGACTTTGCCTCTATCTATGATCTATACACAATTAGTGTCTGACTTTGCCTCTAATCTATACACAATTAGTGTATGACTTTGCCTCTCTATACACAATTAGTGTATGACTTTGCTCTAATCTATACACAATTAGTGTCTGACTTTGCCTCTAATCTATACACAATTAGTGTCTGACTTTGCCCTCTATACACAATTAGTGTCTGACTTTGCCTCTAATCTATCAATAGTGTATGACAATTAGTAGTGTCTGACTTTGCCTCTAATCTATACACAATTAGTGTCTGACTTTGCCTCTAATCTATACACAATTAGTGTATGACTTTGCCTCTAATCTATACACAATTAGTGTCTGACTTTGCCTCTAATCTATACACAATTAGTGTCTGACTTTGCCTACACTAGTGTCTGACTTTACACTATACAATTAGTGTCTGACTTTGCCTCTATACACAATTAGTGTCTGACTTTGCCTAATATACACAATTAGTGTCTGACTTTGCCTCTAATCTATACACAATTAGTGTCTGACTTTGCCTCTAATCTATACACAATTAGTGTCTGACTTTGCCTCTAATCTATACACAATTAGTGTCTGACTTTGCCTCTAATCTATACACAATTAGTGTCTGACTTTGCCTCTAATCTATACAATGACTTTGCCTCTAATCTATACACAATTAGTGTCTGACTTTGCCTCTAATCTATACACAATTAGTGTATGACTTTGCCTCTAATCTATACACAATTAGTGTCTGACTTTGCCTCTATGATCTATACACAATTAGTGTCTGACTTTGCCTCTAATCTATACACAATTAGTGTCTGACTTTGCCTCTAATCTATACACAATTAGTGTCTGACTTTGCCTCTAATCTATACACAATTAGTGTCTGACTTTGCCTCTAATCTATACACAATTAGTGTCTGACTTTGCCTCTAATCTATACACAATTACAGTAGTGTCTGACTTTGCCTCTAATATATACACAATTAGTGTCTGACTTTGCCTCTAATCTATACACAATTAGTGTCTGACTTTGCCTATACACTATGACTTTCTATACACAATTAGTGTATGACTTTGCCTCTATACACAATTAGTGTCTGACTTTGCCTCTAATCTATACACAATTAGTGTCTGACTTTGCCTCTAATCTATACACAATTAGTGTCTGACTTTGCCTCTAATCTATACACAATTAGTGTCTGACTTTGCCTCTAATCTATACACAATTAGTGTATGACTTTGCCTCTAATCTATACACAATTAGTGTCTGACTTTGCCTCTAATCTATACACAATTAGTGTCTGACTTTGCCTCTAATCTATACACAATTAGTGTCTGACTTTGCCTCTAATCTATACACAATTAGTGTCTGACTTTGCCTCTAATCTATACACAATTAGTGTATGACTTTGCCTCTAATCTATACACAATTAGTGTCTGACTTTGCCTCTATACACAATTAGTGTCTGACTTTGCCTCTATACACAATTAGTGTCTGACTTTGCCTCTAATCTATACACAATTAGTGTCTGACTTTGCCTCTAATCTATACACAATTAGTGTCTGACTTTGCCTCTATACACAATTAGTGTCTGACTTTGCCTCTAATCTATACACAATTAGTGTCTGACTTTGCCTCTAATCTATACACAATTAGTGTCTGACTTTGCCTCTAATCTATACACAATTAGTGTCTGACTTTGCCTCTAATCTATACACAATTAGTGTCTGACTTTGCCTCTAATCTATACACAATTAGTGTCTGACTTTGCCTCTATACACAATTAGTGTCTGACTTTGCCTCTATACACAATTAGTGTCTGACTTTGCCTCTAATCTATACACAATTAGTGTCTGACTTTGCCTCTATACACAATTAGTGTCTGACTTTGCCTCTAATCTATACACAATTAGTGTCTGACTTTGCCTCTATACACAATTAGTGTCTGACTTTGCCTCTAATCTATACACAATTAGTGTCTGACTTTGCCTCTAATCTATACACAATTAGTGTCTGACTTTGCCTCTATACACAATTAGTGTCTGACTTTGCCTCTATACA